GTTAAATGAGAAAATATTCTTCAAATCTACATTACTTTTTGAAAACATTCTAGAGGGGATTCCAAAGCTTCTGTAGATACCAAATACGTCTACTGAATTTTAAGGAAATGAATCCAAAGAGAAACAGAGGGCATGATGGAACAGTGCAGCCATACGGACACGGAGTCCTACGTTTGAATATTTCACTGTTAGCTTTAATGAATAGCGCAACTAAGCTGATTGATAGAGTCATGTAGGGAGGTATAAGATGATTTTATCCAACCTTAAGCCTAATTTTAGTTGCTAGCCAATATATAATTGCAATGTTTACCCACTGAATTTAAAGCACTTAAATGTGGACTTAAAAATCGTCTTTTTAAATTTCAGCTTTTTCACAAACTTGTGTATTTTCAACAGGTGTGTACATCCAATAAATTAATGCGAGTGCTTTGTACCCTCAGTAAGGAGCCCAGGAAGCTTCCACCCCACCTCGCGGAAGTGGACGCCATCCAACAGAACAGCACAAAGATCTTCCATAAAGTCCACTTTCCCAATGAAAAGAGCGAAGTAAGACTCTCTTGTGTGAAAGCATCAGTCTCAGCACTATTTGAACTCTACTCTACCCGGCGTATCGTCTTTCTGTTCACTCTGCGTGTAGTTTTTTTCTCTATTTCAGATCTCATTCTGACGTTTTTCATTTGTTGCGCAGCTATTTGAGGTGGCGTCGACAATGACAATCAAAGAACTGTGCTTCAGCATCGCGTTTCATCTCAAACTGAACTCCGCCTACGGATATGGCCTCTACCTGAAAACGCAGAACAAGGTGGGGTCAGATAAGGGTTCTGCACAAACTGTTACTTCACTGTAGTTAGGCAGAAAAGACCAGAATGCAATTAGACTCTGTGTAATGTCAGGGAACATTTTGTGGTTCAGTTTGCATGAGTTACACAATGTGACAACAATCTGAATTCTTGAATTTCTGATCTTCATGAACACTGACTGAGATATCCAAGGCAATATGAGAAATCGCGTCGGCCTCTTTCCTGTTCTACATGTTGATTCTTCTTATTTGTGTTTTAGTCCACGAGCCTGGAAGAGAACAGATATTTCTTTGACTGTCTCAGGCAGACGACACAAGTCCCCAAAAAAGGAAAAAAAGCGAAAGAAGGTAATGCATCACATGCTTAAAATTAAAGTTTTAATATGTGTTCGTATCTCTGAGTGGAGTTTTGTCTCTCAGGCATTCCGGCCAACGTGACGATGAAGGTGATCTTTAAGAGGAAGCTCTGGTTCAATGTGAGCCCCGAGAAAGACATCATCGCAGATGTCACTTTCCATTTCCCGCAGGTATCTATCTTACATTCACAATGTGTTCAAAATGCAGAATTATTGTCATGTATGCATAACCTCTGTTGGGCTTCCTTGTAGGAGGTGCCCAAGTACCTGCATGGATTCCACAACTGCGCCAAAGAGGACATAACTACTTTGGGCGGCCTGCTGTTCAGAGCCAAAGTAGACTCAGACAGGACGCAGTTTGTCATGATTCCCAGGATGCTGAAGGACCTTATTCCTGCCGACTGGCTAGAGCGCCTGTCTCCTGACGAATGGAAGAAGGTAAACACACAGAAGCCTGAGAGAAACCGCTAGTTTCTTATCCTACAAAATGGAACTCCAAGTTCCAGCTGAAGGATCGTCCACTGAGTGTTTCTGTCCTGTGTTCGACCTGCAGCACATCATCTCTGCGTACAACAAGCAGAGTGGCCTCACGGTGCAAGAAGCCAAAATCAACTTCTTGAAAATCATCTCAGGTTGGCCAACGTTTGGCTGTGCCTTCTTTGAAGCTAAGGTGAGTTACCAGGACCAAGTGAGCGACACATTGGCAGACAACAGCTTGAGGAAACTGATTTTTCATGTCATTCCATTGGCAGCAAACATATGACCGTGACTACCCATCTTCACTTTGGGTTGTTATCAACAAGCAAGGTGTCGGCCTAATAGACCCATCAACAAAGGTATGTACAGTCATCAACATGTGGATTGTGTTCCTTATTGGTGTCAGTCTGCGTGTGGTCTTGTTTGTCGCTGTTTATCGCATGATTATTTGAGTTCGTCTTTATGGTGACAAGCGGAACTTAATTGTACTCGACTGTAAACCGTTTAGGAGCTGATGATCATGCACCAGTTCAACCGCATCACAGAATACTACAGCAAAGGAAACACCTTCACCATGGAAATCAGCAACCTGGTGAAGGCCACCTACGTTGTCTGTGAAACCCCACAGGTGAGTGTCCGGCTTGTAAATGTAGTTTTATGTGTACGTCTTTTAGAATAATCCAATACATGTTATTCTGTAAATCTGTCTTGTTTACGAACCCATTTGAGACAACTGATGAAGAAAACGTTTATCTCCTCTTTTTTCAGGCGGACCAAATGGAGGACCTCCTCAGATCGTACGTCAACATGTACGAGGAGCAGAAACGGACCTTTCGACCGAGGAACAGCATTTTCTTTTAAGTATCAAAGGGCAAAACAATAGACTGAGTGACTTTACACGAATGTGTTTGTTTGCTTTAAACGTCAAATCATATTTTCATTTGTTATTGTCGATGACAGTTCTTAACTTTCACCTGTTGCATTTCTCAAACCTCCACTAAGATTGATCCAGATTTGGTGGTTTTCAAACGTCCCCACATCTCACTCAAGTCGTTTTTCTTGAAATGTTTGACAGTGGTTTTGTCAGTAGCTGTTCTCCTTCATGCGCTTGGTTACTTCTGATTTTACTAATATTGATGAGACATTTCAAATCCCGTCAGTCTCACAATCAGTCACAAGCAGCCTTTGTCAGGTTTTAAGACACATGTACATAAACATGCATTTAAATTGCAGCTTCCACCTCATCATTACATAGAATATTATCCTTTATTTCTTCTAGCAACACAACCAGGCTCCAACAACTCAATTCATGATTTTATCTGGAGACAATAAACGTGGGTTCACTTTTACACTTGAAATGTTTTGCTGGGTGATGCACCTACAGCATTCTACACCCAATCATCCGCCTGTCTTATCTGCTTAGTGGTAATTATCTTCATTCTAGGCTTTAAAAAAAATAAAATGCTATTATAATTGTCTGATTCTATGTGTCTCAGTCTTCAAAATGCTGTAACCCTGGTTCGACATAGCACTGTGTAACTTTGTTTTGGAAAGTGCTGTACAAAAAAAATGTTTATTATTATTATTTATTATACACATGCGTTCCAAACTTCCCAGCAGTTTATAATAAACCTATTACCTAAAATGTACCAGATGATTTTACCTGATAGTGAGATATTTAGCTGTCAGTTGTAAGAAAAAATATTCGTCCAGCTCCGATCAGCTCTGCAACTGTATTCGTGATTTACATTTCTTATCTTACACTGAGAGAGCTTGCCCTAAAGAACAATTACATCTTACGTTTATGATGCATTTACTGTAAAGGCCTATTGTATTTTCCACCATGTTGTCCTCAATGGTTCTTTTTAAATGGTGCATGAATAGGCTCTGTGTGATGACGGTCTGGTGTGTATTTAGTGTATTTGTTACTAAAGTACAATCATTTGTAAAATAAATTAACAGGCAAACTTGTCTTGGTTCTTTGACTGATTTGTATTGATGCTGAGATAGAATCAGATGGTGTTTCAAACTAAAGGGAGAGTTTCCACTTACACACATATATAAACACTGCCTGGCCCAAAAAAAAAGTCCCACAGTCCAATATTTCGTTGAACCGCCTTTAGCTTTGATTACTGTTTCGATAAGCTTCTGCAACTTTTATTTCCGTCCACCGTTGCGTTAATTTCTCGCCAACATGTTGTATCGATGATGGGAGAGTCGGACCACTGCGCAAAGTCTTCTCCAGCACATCCTGGAGATGCTCAACGGGGTTAAGGTCTGGACTCTGTGGTGGCCAGTTCATGTGTGAAAGTAATGTCTCATGCTCCCCGAACAACGCTTTCACAATTTGAGCACAATGAATCCTGTTATTGTCATCTTGGAGTATGCCCATGCCGTCAGGGAAGAAAAAATCCATCGATAGAACAACCTGGTCGTTGTATGAGAGTGAATATACTCTTTATCATTTTTAAAGTCCTTGTCCTGTATGAGGAAGAACTTGGAGGGTAAGACCGGGTCTTTTGGTGAATCCAGGTGGCATGCAGTGCTCTTGTTGGCAATCACGAAGAGTGCAACATCACAGACAGTGTACAGTTTCTCATTGGCCTTTGCATCTTCAAGACACTGAGCATCCTTGGTTTGTTTGATGTTCTTGACCATCTTTCTCAGAAAGGCATGTCTGTTGTTCTTGTTCTTGGTCATCAGCACTTCCAGCATGAACCAAACGCACTCTTTGAGTCGTTTATGTTCATGTGGTTTAGTGAAGTCTGGGTCATGTGCCAGCAGGTGGATCATGTAGGGAACAACATACTCAAGGAGAAGAGAGACAAGGTTTTCCAGAGCGAGGGGGTTTTGCTTGATGTACTCTCTGTGGACGGAGATGTTTTTGAGGAGGCACGGACATCATTCTTTGGGCAAATAACGTTGCTGAACCTAGAACTGACCAATTGCAGCAACCCCAGATCATAGCACTGCCCCCACAGACCTGTAGGGTAGGCACTAGGCATGATGGGTGCACCACTTCCGCCTCTCTTCTTACCTGATGCGCCCATCACTCTGGAACAGGGTAAATCTGGACTCATCAGACCACATGACCTTCTTCTGTTGCTCCAGAGTCCAATCTTTATGCTCCCTAGCAAATTGAAGCCTTTTTTTCCCCTGATTCGTCTGGTTTTCTTAAGGCTACACAGCTGTTTTGTCCCAATCTCTTGAGTTCCCGTCGCATCGTGCACCTGGAAATGCTCTTACTTTCACTATTAAACATAACCTTGAGTTCTGCTGTTGTTTTTTTACGATTTGATTTCACCAAACATTTCATCATGATCATTCAAGATTTTTTTCTTACCACATTTCTTTCTCGATGATGATGGTTCCCCACTATCCTTCCAGCTTTTAATAATGCATCGGACAGTTCTTAAACCAGTTTTAGTGGTTTCATCAATCTCTGTAGATGTTTTCCTTGCTTGATGCATCCCAATAATTTAACCCTTCTGAAACAGATTAACGTCTTTTCCACGGCCACAGGATGTGTCTTTGGTTGTTTAAGAAATTAGAAGCTACTCACTGCATCAGTTAGGGTTAAATAACTTGCTGCCAGCTGGAACATAATCCCCCATGCAGTAATTATCCAATGGGACCTGTTTGCTTAGTTAAATCCAAGTGGTGAGTTTTTTGGGGGGGTTTTTTTGGCCAGGCAGTCTATAAACAGCAAATATTTGACACATTATACCAGAAACTGCTCAAGTGTAATTATTAGCATTAATTCTAACTGTAATGTCACTAGTTTCAGGGCTTTTAATGTAATTAGTGTTGTACTTTGCTTGCCACGACAGGTCAAATTGCTTGAAGAAGGATGGTAAGAGATTTAAAAACCTTTATTCAGAATGGCATGGGTCTGAAAATATTAGTAGTTACATATTTATACATTTGTAAATACACACCATCCACTTTATGACGAATACTTGTGGAATCTAATTCAATCTAATTCGATTCATAATTAATTTGAACTTACGAAGCCTCTACATTTTTACTTTTTATCGAAATTAACAAAAAGGTGATGATGGTGTACTGCACTGCGCTACACTTAAAAGTGTTCCTAGTATTTTTTTCCCCGCTCTATTAATGTACATGAGAGGGAAAAATATTACAAAAATAGGAAAATATTGAAGTGGAATGCATTTCAATACACCGCTACCCACTATGATGTCAGTAATAAATATGAACAAGGAGAATTATCCCCTTTTTGACAACTTCAAGCTTCATGAAACTAGAATTTATGGTGGCGCTGTGGTGTTGAACTGCGTTAGATTTCACAAATATATTTAATATAGTGGATGGTGAGTGCCTATATTTGAGCCTTGGACGATTATGAATTAACAGTCATGTTAAGACAACACGCTGTTTCCTGAGACACGTTGTGAGAGTTATCTGATAAATTACTGCTCATGTAGTTATTTTTATCCACAATCAATGAAGTGCCAGAATATCCATCCATCCATCATCTATACACCGCTTAGTCCTCACTAGGGTCATGGGGGGGCTGGAGTCTATCCCAGCTGACTCAGGGTGAAGGCAGGTTCACCTGGACAGGTCACCAGTCTATCACAGGGCTACACTTAGAGACAGACAACCAAGCACACTCACATTCACACCTACGGACAATTTAGAATTATCAATTAACCTCAACATGTTTTTGGACTGTGGGAGGAAGCCGGAGAACCCGGAGAGAACCCACGCTGCACGGGGAGAGCATGGAGACTCCACGCAGAAAGATCCCGGGTGTCCTCACCAGGATGCGAACCAGCGACCTTCTAGCTGCGAGGCGATGGTGCGAACCACCGAGTCATCTTGCAGCCCGGCAATAATGCCTCTTGACAATATTTCAATCAGTTTATTTCTTAATTATTCTACTTTTTACAGTCTCTATTTCTACCATCAATATTTTTTAAACTGTTTACTAAACTGTTTATACTTTGTCATGCTTTGTGTTAGCAATGCTGCGATAAACGATATTTAATGAAAACTTTGCTGTTAATAAACTATTTAAAAACTGAAATATTGAAATATTAATAACACACATATGATAATATTATAGAGAATCCAGTGCTCGTAACTGTCTGGTTTACACATTGACACTGGAACAATATACGGTTCAGCTACAGAATCTCTCTCCACATCCCTACACGTGTATTTTAGTTGTAATTTATCCAAAAAAAATTGACAAAACACACAATAAAAAAAGGTAGAGATGAATTAGACAAATTTCCAGCCGATATTGCTGTAATATTATTATCATGGTTCCTTTTGGTAACGATAGTTGTGTAATAAAAATCAGCATTCATGAGAGCTCTTTGTATCTGCACGTCTTGTTTTTATGCCATATTTTCGTTAATCATTATTTGATTCTTATTATACAAATCTACTTACATTTGATCATCTGAATAATTCATATTTCAAAAGTTATATAAGTGGAAAAATGTATAAATTACGTTGAGTCATGCAGTGCAATGGCAATAAGAGTGGATGTGCATTTAACATACTGAAAATGTTAAGAAAATCCACAACTGCTGACTTTACTGCACCATGTAAACATTTTATTAGACAATATTGTCTCTGTTTTTAGTTGTTCCTTTTGTTTCGTGTCTGATGCCGTAAGTGTTGGAGTGTGTTTAGCTGGCTGCTAATTTATTCATTTGTAAAAAAAAGCTGTTTCACAGTTACAAGGCGTCATACCGTTGCACCTGTGCAGCAGCCTCTTTGCTTTCCCTGCACTCTCAAACTTTTATTATCATTATTATTAGAAGGCTGTTATTGTTGTCGGCCACACTTGTACGTCTTATGCACGAGCTGGAGGCCGTTTCCAAAATGTCAGCCAACATTCCCAGTTTTCCAGCGGGCATCCGATGCTCCTGGAACGTCCCGAACTCTTCTTGAATATCAAGTCGCCCCTTTCCTCATAACACAACTCCGGTTTCATACCTGAAATTACATCACAAACTCGTAGTGTAATGTAGTAGACTGCTTATACAACCTTCCTCATTGCCTGTCAAGACTATTGCACTGTTACCATGGAAACCTTGTGACAAAAAAAAAAAAAAAAATCAGGTTACCATGGGCAGGTGCATATGAGGTGCAGTATGATGATTTGTGTGCCTCAGTCTGCTGTCGCCTGATGCAATCTGACTGCAAGGGGAGCCAAAATACCTCCTAACACCTCTGATCCGGAGCATATCGCATTACATTTAGATGTAACTTTCCAGATATTAGAGGTTAGAAATCTTCATCGCAGTGGTTTGAGTCTGCAATAAAAGATGCAAAATTAGAAAGGAATGCAAGAAGAAAGATGTAGGCCAAACAGCTGAGCACTGAGTGTGTGAGTGTGTGTGTGCTGCCCTACAAGACGGCAAAGGCATTTTGATGCACTGCACCAAATTTGGAACAAAAGACCTTATAGCCCAGACCACATCACTATCCTCCCACCTGCACCCCCTCCCTCACCCCTTCCTCCCCCTCCCCCCCTTTCCTGCAAGTTGTATTTCAAGACGACAAAGCAGCTTCACAAACACAAACTTGAACATAGCACACATTGGCGCTAGTGCGCATGTCCGTGTATTCTACATGAAGTTGTGCATATGTATGAAGAAGTGTGCGCTCCTGTTTCCCTTCCGTCTTCTCCTCCAGCACGCAGGAACTTTCGGCCATTTTTTTCCGGGGCTTATTTGTTGTTTCCACCTTAAAAAAAAAAAAAAAAGAAAAAAACCCGAGGAGCTGTTCTCAGGTCGGTGCCTCCTGCTGTAGCTCTGGCTGATTAGCAGGAGGCTAAAACGACTCCAGATCAGCGTCTGTTTCGGTGTCCTCCCCCCCGCTCCCCTCCTCTTTCAAACCTCCTCCTCCCCCAAAAAACCTCCCTCCTCCTCCTCCTCCCTCCTCCTCCTCCCCCCTCCTCGCGCTGCTAGGTGCGCGCCAGCCTCGCGATAGCCTCGCCTACCAGAATCAAAGCTGCGCTCGCGAACTGGATGCTGACAGGCGCGCGGTGCGGTCATCATGCAAAGGTTACCGAGGATCCGTTTCAGCGAGAGTCTGAGGAAGAAGAAGCCGCTCCTCCGCAGGACCCGCACGGCTCACAACATGCCAGACGTCTAGCAGCAGCGACGGGAAGAGAGACATTACAACAGCGGACTAACTCGGCCCTGTTTTGGCGACAGCAGGTGTCAAAACGATGGACGCGAGTTCGGGATTTCCGGCAGTGTGTACGCTGGCTCCTCTCGGCGGTAAAGTGGCTTCATGAGTGTCCAAAGTAACAGTGGAAGTGGTGGTGGAAGTTTGGAGGCGACGCCATCTTGGTCGCAGCTCTCCTCGTCCCCAACGATTTCTCAACAACATATAACGGCGACCGCAAAGAGCAAGGAAGGTACAGGAGCTTCACCGACGGGCTACTCTTATATTCTCCGTGAAGTGTGTTGTTTTTGTGACGGGATGAGCTCGGTTGTTTGTGGCCGCGTCGAGCTAACGTTTGCCGAAGTCTAAAAAAAAAAAAAAAAAAATGGATGTCAAGTTCACTGATGCCGTGAATTGGAAGCCAAACGTCAGCTGTCAGTTGAGTTGATGGCCAGTCTAAGTAGCAGCGGAGCTATCGTGTTTTTGCACAAAGGCAGCGCTAGCTTGCTGTGCTGTTTGTGCGGCTGTCAGGATTTCTTGTTACTCGGAGCCGCTGATGCGATCACAGTGTTTGTGTAGTAGTTTGTAACCTCCTATCAGCAGCATCTAGTAGAATATTAAACAACGTAGCCGCGAGTGCATCCATTAATGCACTGCAACGCACGACCCCGCTGCTGGTAACTTGAACATAGGCCGTGGATTTGACTTTTTGACCAGTTTGGATGCATCCGCTTTGCCCACATTGTTGTCGACATGTTGTTATTCACTCCTGCGTTTGCTGAGTTGCTGGAGATGATGTGACAAAACGGCGATGATAAGTGGCAGCAGTTGGCTCTAATCTTCCAGCTATGTGCGTTTCTTACGGGACATGATATGATATGTCGAAATATTTAGACAGCGATGGTGCTAACAAGTTGGTGCCAACCCAAATTTGCATTTTAATCACGCTACCGAGCATATGTTTTATGAAGTAATTTTCAATCTAACGTGCTAAGAGACAGAAACGTTGTTGCAATAACAAGCTGTAGCTGTATAGATTAATTACCCCAAATCTGGCGCTCCTATGTCCTCAAATAACCTCACATAGGCCTTGTGGTGTGCTCACTGTTGCACCGCTCAAGGGTTTCATAATGTCCATTATGCCTTTTAAGGCTTGCCCCTGTGCCAGAAGCTATGTAAAGATGACAGCCAGGAAATGTCCAATAAGGAAACAAACACTTGCAGCAGCAGGGAGCAGAGGACGTGTGTTCATCTCTCCCTGGAAGCTGCTTGTTGTAAGCCAAGGCCCACAAAGACAGCATATAGGATATGTAATCCTCTTCTTGTGTTAGTGACATTTCATGCGTAGTGTGTGTTATAATTTACAGCTAAATTGTTTTCCACAGAGACCTCTGAAAATCTAGCTAAATTTAAATGCAAAACTAGGCTTATGCACCGCCTAAATGGCCTGTTTCAGCAGTGTGAGGAACACTGATGCACACTTGCACATGTGCAGCATTTCAATTAGAGACATTCATTGACACTGCAACATATCGAAAGATTTTACTTTGAGATAAAACTTGCATTGTCCTTATCTAAGCTCTTGTTGTTCTTCTGAGTTATTGAGATTCCTTAATGATAGAGACTAGCTTAGCACTTTGCAATGAGGCCATTGTGGCATCCTCACTAACAAAATAATAGATGGGCGAGTTGGAGATCTTTGTGCTGACAGACTAGTGGATTCACTTCACCCAGCCTTCTCAGTGACCTTTCTGTTCGACTTAGAAATGCAGTGTCACTCATCTACAGCATCTCCAGCATAGATTCAAAGCACATCTTTTGAAGAGCTACCTCCTTCCCAGTTGAATTAAATCCATTTTTCTATTTTTATTCTCCAGCCACTCTCATTTTCTCTAATCCCCTCCCCGATACTGTCCTCTGTTCCTTCCCGTGGCGCTCATTTGTATTCTTTTCTGGTAATTTTGTCACGGGTATGTGTACTTGTCGAGTGATGGTGATAATCGTCTTACCTTACTGTGTCGGTGTCCTCGTGCCAGGCCCCATGGAGGAGCTGCACAGCCTCGACCCCAGGAGACAGGAGCTGCTGGAGGCCAGGTTCACAGGAGCTGTCAGTGGCAACACAGGAGGCAGCACTGGGAGCACCAGTGGAGGTGCTAAGGTAACAGAGAAACTAAAGCCTCCATTTTGAGATATGTCACACACAAAATGAGGGTGCGTTTTAACACCCATACCATTATACTATATAGTATGCCAGAAAAATATTTAGTGTGTCCTAGTGTAGTATGTAGCATGTCAGAAGTATCAGGAAGTCCTACTGCATGATTGCATTTTGCAGTTTGCGATGCGTTTCTGGCCGTTCTAACCAATAATTCTCTGCACCGTTGGCATACGGTGTCTTGCACGAGTATAAACAAGCTCGAGTTGTTGAGAGTGTGCCACAGACTGCTGTAGAAATGTGAGCAACACAGTCATAGAAAGTCGTATTTGTTTTCATAAGGGCGGCTGCAGTACAAACTGAAAGTAAAAAGAAAAAGTTTGCAATTTGGAACAAAAGGACAGTTAGCCCAGAACTAAAGAGCCTCATCAGTTCAAATGTCCTTTCCTGCATCCCTGTGTCCTCACAGATGAAAGATTAAGAGTGTTGAAAGGGCAACAACAAGAAATGACAATTCTCAGCTGTCAGTATCAATGCTAACGCCAACCAGTGCTTGCTTGCTTGCAGCACAAAGAATGCTATGCACAAGTTCAAGCAGTCTTTAGCCTTGTGTTTAGAAGTAACTCCATCGTGAGCAGAAGTGGCCACTTTTCTTTTGATGCCAGGAAATAAAAACGAAAGCAAGTTAGTAAAAGGCTAAGTGACGCACCTTGTAAGTGAAATTCTGGATTCCAATCAGACATGACAGACTACAGGCCTACATGTTTGCTTTTCACGAGGTCACTGAACTTGAATAACGCCTCACACGTGTGCTGATTATCTGCCTATTTTATTTGTTCACCTATCTTCATGTAGGGCCTGGCCAACGAGTCCTCTAACCACAGCTATGGAAGTCTGGGTTCATCCAGTGACAAGGAGTCGGAGGTAAAACACAGTCATTAAACATTTGCTTCAAGGCGCTGAGTATAGGTCGTACGCAGTTTATTAAACAGATATGCAGACTGGAGTGTGGTTACATATGCATCCATATTGTCAGTACTTTTCCTTGCACAGCCCACTCTTCTTTCTGTCTACCTCCACCTCTCCCTCTCTTCTCTCTTCCTAGAACTCTGATTTGAAAAGAGGGAGCTCCCCTGCCTACTCAGTATGTACTCTTTCTCCCGGCTGCTCTTTCCTGCTGAACACCACCACTGGATCTTGCTTTGTTAGGCGAAACACAGGGGATTCATGCTTCTTCTTTTTTTTTTTCTTTCTTTTTTTTTTGTCCTCTCTCATTTCGTATCGATTCACAGACCCCGGAGAAGAAGCACTCCGAATCGTCCAGAGGGAGGAAAAGGAAAGCTGATACTTATTCAGAGAGTAGTCAAGGTATGATCGGCATCTGCGTTGAAATGGTGTGATTCAAGCAAATATAAATTACTGATGGCTTACGTTGCCATTGTGGGGGTTTTTTTGCAGGAAAGACCTCCACACGTGGGCCCAAGATCAGCGACTACTTTGATGTGAGTTTAACAACAACTACTGTAGCACTGCAACAATTGTTATAGTACAGTTAATTGGCTACTATTTTATTAATGGGGGTTTCTGTACTCCTCTATGGCAGTAAACTGAATGTCTTTTTCGGTTTGGACAAAACGAGACCTTTGAGGATATCGTTTTGGGAACTGCTGTTAGACATTTTTCCCCATTTTCTAATCTTTTATAGACCCAACAATGAATTGACTAATCGAAAAGTAACTTAACAATGAAAATAAACCTTACTTGCAGCTGTAAGCTACTGTTACTCCAGTATGTTGTGATTCTAATAATTTTAGACCAGATGCTTAAGCTAACCCTTTCTGCAAAGTTCCAGGGTGGAAATGGTTCCAGTCCAGTCAGAGGCCTCCCGTCAGCTCGCCGCTCGCCACAGAACTCGCACTCTGCACCGGGCTCAATCGTGAGTATTTTGCAGACAGTCAAACCTTTCCGAGGGATTTCCGATGAGTTATCTGCGTCATCTCTCCGTACCTTTGTCTTTGCAGATCCGGCAGAACAGCTCCTCTCCCACCAGTCTGTGTTTCGGGGAACACAACCCCAAAGCTTCCTCAAGCAAATGCATCCAGGTAGTCGATCACACAGAGGAAACACGCTGAAATGACACGTTTTTACATTGCACATTGATTAGAACGCCTCTCATTGCTATCTATCTGGTTTTCTTAGACGGAATTGACAGGCCTGAAACTCGCTGCCCTGGAGAGCAACAAGAGCCTGGACCTGGAGAAGAAAGAAGGACGGATAGATGACCTGCTCAGGGTGAGTCAGTGATGGAGAGCGCATAACGTGGCATCTGTTTCATGTTCTCCAGGTCATCGTGCCAGGTTTACACTGTGTTAATAACCACACAGCCTGATTCCATGCTGTCGTTGCTGCGTGTTTTTGTTTTCGACAGGCTAACTGTGACCTGCGGAGACAGATCGACGAACAGCAGAAACTCCTGGAGAAATACAAGGAGAGGCTCAACAAGTGCATCACCATGAGCAAGAAACTGCTCATAGAGAAGGTACGTCCTCTCATGTGCACGCACAGGCTTGTGTGTCGTGTGTACATTCGAGAAAACATCAGTGCTTTAAAGCTGCATTAGGTGATTGTTGACCTTTTATGGAGCAGAAAGAGAAGCTGACAAGTGACAGAAGAGACGCTGTAGCAGCTTATCAACGTCACCGCAGCTAATGTGTCGCAAATTGGACTTGAACAAATGTAGCGTTCAGCGTAATTAGCAGGAAAAAAGGCAACACGGGTGTCTAATCCATTAGTAAGTCCAGTGTTCTGTGATGTTTTAGTTTTGCTTTGGTGCACAGCTGCTGAGAGAGTTTCGATTGGTAGGTTTTTGAAACTCTCCAACAGCCACTTGTTGTCCTTTGTTCTCTGCTGTTTGAGTTGCATATAGCAGCACAGCAGCGGTGGGACTTTGTGTACACTCACTTACGGATGTGATCCAGCTTTATTATAATATCGCTTAATAGAGCTCATTCAGAGGGGGGTATAATTTTGAGGTTATAGGTATGGACTTGTCACTGGAAAATGTTGTGAGAATCCTAAACCCAAATGACAAAATCTATCGTCTCTCAGCTGACACTACTGCCTTCAGCATCACTGCCCATCGTTTCTAACTGTGTCTGTGTGCCTGTCTGGTTTTGTCTGCAGAGCACCCAGGAGAAGCAGTCATGTCGCGAGAAGAGCATGCAGGATCGCCTCCGTCTCGGTCACTTCACCACCGTCAGACACGGGGCGTCCTACACGGAGCAGTGGACTGACGGATATGCATTCCAAAACCTGATCAAGTGAGAGGCTACAAACACACGCACTGTTAATCAATTCAGCATAAGTAACCTCCATTTTGTTTTTATTAAACACCTTGAAGCAGCAGAAACACTGTGATTTTTTTTTTTTTTTCCTTGCATGTTTCATTTCACAGCCAGAAGCAAAACAAGCGAAAAGCTGTTTATTGTCTGCTTTAGTATTTGTCATATGATCCATTCCCTCCCTCTCTGTGTGTCTTCGCAGGCAGCAGGAGGGCATCAACCAGCAGAGGGAGGACATTGAGCGGCAGAGGAAGCTGTTAGCCAAGAGGAAGCCTCCGAACCCCGCGTCTCCCTCCCTGTCTGTGGCCTCCACATCTGAACCCAAGCAGCGCAAAACGAAGGTGGTGAACGGCAACGACTCCGACCCCTTCCTCAAGCCGTCCCTGCCCCAGCTGTGAGTAAACTCAAATATACATATATGTGTAGTCTGTAGGAAAACATTTTGGTTCTGCTGGGAGATTTGACTTGACTGTGTTTTGGCAGACTGACCCTCGCTGAGTACCACGAGCAGGAGGAAATCTTCAAGCTTCGCCTTGGACATCTGAAGAAGGTCAGTAGCTAAAAACACCAGACGTTTTAACCAAGGGAACACTCACATGGATAAAAATGCACTTTAAGCTATGACTTCAGATTACAGGAAGACATACTGTCAATGAAAAGGAAATGTAAAATGTGTTCATTTCATACCGTGTGTTTTCAGGAGGAAGCTGAGATTCAAGCAGAGCTGGAGCGGCTGGAGCGGGTGAGGAACCTTCATATCAGAGAGCTCAAGAGGATAAACAACGAAGATAGCTCAGCGTAAGTCCACTCAACATACCTTGTTCAGGAATCTTCTTGTCTAAATTAAGACTCGATTGAGGTCTGTGTGATGAACACAAGTCATGATTTTAGTTTCTACAGTCAGTGTTTAGTAAATATTAGCAGAGCTGCTAAAGAAACCCCATAAATTTATTGTGGCACGTCCTCTGTAGGTCAAAAATGCAAACACAAAAGAAGCACACTGACACCCATTCAGACAGGTTAAAACTTTCTGTACGGGTCAGCTCACATCAGCCGACCCTCGTTCACAACCTTCCTCTTGACTAGATGTGTATGCGAAGGCCACGTTTTTGTGCTCGTGTGCGCTGACTGAATAGTATAGAGTAAGTGTCAGCGCTCTTATTGAACAGAAAAAGACGTGATGCTCCTGTGGATGTTCAATAAGGCTCGCTGTGTTTACAGGATAAAGCGGCTCATTACAGATTAAGCTGTAGCACCATGTCAATAATTATTCCTTTGGCGTACGGTGCTCTTTGAAATCGCCTGCTGCTGGTGTTTGTTACGGCCACAAGCACAGTGGGTGGACATGATACAAGATTTCTGAAGAATTAAACAACTTGGGCACCGTCAGTGGGAGCATGTACAAATCAAAACACGTCCAAAGTCCAGCAGCAACTACAGCTCCTTCAATGATGATTGTAAAGGTGTGTGATGGAGAGGCTCGTGGCACAACCTCCCCCTCAAAACAAGAATTTACTTGGAGCATAAATGGGGGCTTGTGCGGACACTTGCAGACTTGAGTTTTTTAGAGACAAGGTTGCAGAGAGCATGACATGGCCTTTAATAGGAGGGATTTTAATATAAATGTGATTCTAGAGATGGATTGGCATTCATGAATCTGTTTAGTTGCGTTTTGAGGTGTGTTGGTATGCAAGCATTCAGCTTAAATAAACTCAGCTTCACAGCTTTGAAACTGGCGGTGATCAGTCATTAGGTGGTGGCATGATAAACACACACAAGAAACAGATTGTTGTCTTGAGCCGGCACGTTCATTTGATTCATGTCAGATGCGTTGGCTAGATGAGCAGAGGTTTATCCAACACAGGTCGAACGTTGAACATCACTAGACCCGTGATATAAATTGTGTGCAGAGTTCCTACATTAAAATCAAGCAGAATTTTCACTGTTTTTCACCACAACATCCTCCTCCCACAGATTTAAAGACCATCCTACTTTAAACGAGAGGTACCTGCTGCTGCACTTGCTGGGCAGGGGCGGCTTCAGTGAAGTCTATAAGGTATTGTGTCCATACGGCTGGACTGCTCTCTTCATTTTCTCTCTCTTTTTATAAAGTATGATTGAAGACGAGGTGTTTCTGTGTGCTCTCTTGTCACCTGTAGGCTTTTGACCTGTTTGAGCAGCGCTACGCAGCTGTTAAAATCCACCAGCTCAACAAAAACTGGAGAGAGGAGAAGAAGGAGAACTACCACAAGTAGGTCTCATCTGCACATACAAATACACAAAACTTTAAAAGCAAAACATTCACACACACACACTGGTTGACACTTCTTTTCTTTCAGACATGCATGCAGGGAGTACCGGATACACAAGCAGCTGGACCATCCCAGAATAGTCAAGCTCTACGACTATTTCTCCCTGGATACTGACACGTGAGTTACCTCTGACCTCTGCCAGCTGCAGCCCTGCTGTTCACGTATCCTGAAGTTGTTCCTTTCACAGCGCTGTGTTAAAAAGCTATATTTGCAGTGGGTGTAAACCAGCATGGTGTCCATCAGTTAGTGTCAAACCTGTGCAAAAGCCCAACCCAGTGAATACTCAAATAACGCATGAGTTGCTTATGTTCTGCCTCAAGGCTGTAGGTCAGGGTGCTATCAGATTGAGAAAGAGTAAATAGTAAAAGGAAAAAAAAGTATGATTCAGTGTCAGCATGCCCTGACAATGGAAGTTATTTCTGAAAGGGTAACTTCTGTGTTTGAGTGTTTACTAAGCATAGTGACGTGCAGTCAAGAGATTTAAAGGAACTGGCAGCCAGTGTTTCTTACCCCCTCTGACAATACTATATGTTTGTCCAGATTAAAGGAGGAAACTATTTCTGTGCTGAAATCAGCAAAGCTTTTCTTAGATGACTGAGCAGCTCACATACGTAACTTAAGTCAGGCTCATTCAGCTGCAGAAGCTCCTGATCCTGACCTCTGACCTGCATTTGGGGGAGGGCAAGTAAAATATCTCTTCTTAGCCCTCAGTCTTTCCAGCTCTTAAAAGAAACTTAAACTGGATGACTTGATCTTCCTACTTAGGCCTCAGTAAATTAATGATGTGTGCAAGTTGCATATACAGCTGACCAGGGCACGTGAGCGGAACAAAGGAAATTTCTGCTCCTCACTCTTGGACCTGTTCACTTCAGTTAATAATAATAATAATAATAATAGTTGATCAGATTTATATAGCGCTTTTCTAGACACTCAAAGACGCTTTACGCTGTCAATTGTTCATTCACACACATTCATTCCGGTGGTGGTAGCTACGATTGTAGCTACAGCTGCCCTGGGGCACCACCTCAAACCTCAAACCACCACCTCAAACTATCCATTCACACAAAGTGGGTAAAGCGACCATGACACAGGTTACAGGGCGGAATCAAACCGCCGACCTTCTGATCATTGACCGACTTGCTCTACCACCTGAGCCACAGTTGCCCTCGTGCTCACGGCCCCTACACGACACTCAGCTCAATATCACTCAAAGCTCATCTGAAATTTCACCCAACTTTGCACAAATTGCTCTGATTAAAGAAAAAACATGCTCGGTACTGAGCTATGTCTTTAACCAGTGCAAATAAAACCTCACCTTGCCTGGTTCTTTCCCAGATTTTGGTTTCAGCTCATGATGTGAAGCAAAATTTGCAGCGACACAGAGTGGAAGATAAAGTGATGCTCTGACTTAAAAAAAAAAAAAAAAAAACAAAATTTGCAGCGACACAGAGTGGAAGATAAAGTGATGCTCTGACTTAAAAAAAAAAAAAGACTCTTCGCTCCGTCCAAAATCCTTCACTCATGCTCACCATTTGCTTCACTTGCATGCTCTGCTGCTCACCTGAGTGTGTTCACATTCAGCTCCTGGGTTTGGTCTTATGCGTGCATCTGTCTTCGTCAGGTTTTGTACAGTGTTGGAGTTCTGTGAAGGAAATGACCTGGACTTCTACCTGAAGCAAAACAAGCTGATGTCAGAGAAAGAGGCCCGCTCCATTGTCATGCAGATAGTCAGCGCCCTGCGCTACCTCAATGAAATCAAACCCCCCATCATCCACTACGACCTCAAACCCGGTGGGTCGCATGTTTGAAGCCTTTGCAAATTGCCTTTTCATTGTTAACGCGGTGTTAAATTTGTAGTTGCTCCAATTTAACACCTCATTTTGTGTGAAGCACTCACTGAACCTCACATGTGGCACACAGGTAACATCTTACTGGTGGATGGGACTGCATGTGGAGAAATCAAAATCACAGACTTTGGCCTGTCCAAGATAATGGACGACGACAACTACGGTGTGGACGGGATGGACCTCACATCACAGGGAGCGGGTACCTACTGGTGAGACACAAATGCTTTTCTTATGCCGACATCTGAGACAAACTCGTGTTCAGAAAAGCTCAACCTACTGTGTCTATGTGCAAAACACAGAATCTGGTGCTACCGATATTAGAATCGTGATAGTAATTGTTAAGAACTGTCCTTTTGTAGCACTTTTGTATGCCATTAAATAACTACAAGTCATCTCTAAGAACTACATGTGAGCTCTTACCTACGTAGAATAGAATAGAATGCTTTTTTTGTCATCATACACAAAGTACAACGAAATTAAAAATGGTTTGACATGAATGGTATTTTTTATGTACATGTTCAGGTACCTCCCTCCAGAGTGTTTTGTGGTTGGAAAGGAACCGCCTAAGATCTCCAACAAGGTGGACGTCTGGTCTGTGGGAGTGATCTTCTTCCAGTGCCTCTATGGACGCAAGGTAGTCTTTATCTTAATCTATTCATCTTTAAAGCTTTTCTTTTGTTCCATTGTTTAACTTTGAATTCGACCGTGTGTACACTGTTGTTCTTATTTTCTAATCCTTTTATGTACCGCGTCTAATCCTTTGAATTCCCCGATGTGTGTAAACACCTCACCTTGCCGTTAACATACGACACGCAGCATTGATGTGTAGTCGAAGCGCTGTTAAAGGCGTCGGATTGGTGGTGATTTTGTGTTTTGTTTTCGCAGCCGTTTGGTCACAATCAGTCACAGCAGGACATCCTCCAGGAAAACACCATCCTCAAAGCCACAGAGGTCCAGTTTCCAGCTAAACCACAGGCCAGCACAGAGGCCAAGGTGACACACACACTCATATACACACAAGGGCCTTCACTTCAGTTTTATTAACGGTTGCTGCCTTCACTTAGGTTCACTCCTGTGGCTGCTGTTATCAGCACATGTGGCTCATTTATGAAGTAAATGCAATATTTGAGTGTTAATCCAATAAAAATGGATCGTAAACTACCACGTAAATGGCATCTTCTGATTGCCTTTAGCTGAATGCTGCCATAGGAGGATCTAATGGTGGATGAAATGGATAAAATCTCGATTTTACATTTATTAATGCCGTAAATGTTCTCTAAATTCGACTAAAAATATATTTATCAATCAAATATTCGCATGGAAGTGTCTGTTTTGGGCGATGGTAGTTCAATATCTAGAAAAACGACTTGCTGCTTGCCGGATTTAACCCGATACAACTGGAGTTATCAAAGGAATGGTAGCTGTAGAGCAGTTGACAAATGAAAAATAATTGCCTAAAAATGAATTAATCACTACTTCGCTTTAATTTTTCAAGAAAAACAGCAAATATTTGGACATATTCACAAGTTTCTCCATAGTAACTAAATATCTTTGGATGACTTTTGCCCTGAAAAAAAACAAGACATCAAAGGTTGCCACGTTTTCTTTTCGACGTGACTTATTCCAAATTCTAATTTTGATAGTTAAGAAGATAATTGGCAGGATTAATGGGTGATTAAACACAATGGCTGCAGCCCTGTAGATCCTCGGTCTGACAGCTGACGAATGCGTCTCGCTGTGCTGATTCGTGTCGGGCCTGCTGCTCGTAGCGCGACTGAGTCGAGACTTGTGGCGTTTTGCAACTTCAGTTACAGTAAAAGCCAAACTGTACACACTAGAATTTAGGTATTAATATCTACCAGAGTTTTCAATTTGGCAATCCAGTGACATGTCGACGCACGCTCAGCTATCTGAATCGAGTCTAGAGCGTAGCGGGGTTTTCCTGGCTCAGAACAAGCCTTTTGTGAAGTGACGACGCACAGCAGCGTGAGGATCCACATTCAATAAAGGCAGGAGTCTCTGACCTGATATGACAGGAATGCTTCTGTTCTGTTTCTCCACATTTCATAAACAAAGGTGTGTATTATGCTCGAGTAGCCTCAGTTAACAAAAGCGGTTTAAAAAATTGATTTAATGTTGTGATTTGTGATTTTCTTGTTGGTGCTGGATAAAACCTCGTTTGAGGGGGCGCCAAAAATTCCTCTATGGGGGAAAAACCCTGCTATAAAAACTAAAGGCTGCCACCTAGTAGACAACAGATCAGCCTCTGCTTTGTTCTATAGTAAGCAAACATTTAAAAAAGCACCACAAACAGCCTGCAGCTCCGTTCTAATGCGCTCTAATGTGTCGTGCAGGCGTTCATCCGGCGCTGTCTGGCCTACCGCAAGGAGGACAGGTTCGATGTTCACCAGCTGTGCTCGGACTCCTACCTCCTCCCTCACATGAGACGCTCCAACTCCTCCGGCTCCCTGCAGCCCTCCGCCTCGTCGCTGCCCACCTACTGACTGATGGGACCCTCTGGCCGATCTCAAGGCAGGATTGTTGAAATCGGAGGATGATAGACGTGGATCTTTTTTTTTTTTTTGTTTCCTAAAATGGATAAATTAGCAACGGAAGAGAGTAAAACGGAAATATGAGGTGGAAAATGGAGAAGGAGTGGAAGGAGGATGCTCCCGCTGTGCTGTACAGAGTCGTGCCCTTGAACTCAACCGTACGAGAGAGGGGACAGAATATAAAATGAAAGACTGGAAAATAGAAAGGAGGAGGCAGAGATAAGAGGACGGCGCAGCACTGTCGGGAGAATGATGATGTTTATGGACTTAATTAACCCCTTAGGAGACATTACAGCAGTATAGGACCTCCTAGATGTCCAAGCCCACCTCTCGTAGCTCTTCATACATCTACATGTACACGTACGTCATTAGACACCTTTTTATGGGAAGGTGAGTTGTGTCAACATAACGCTGCTGTTGCAGTCTTGTCGCCGATGAGGGCGGCGGACAGAAGAAGACGGGGGTTAACCGATGACTGTTTGTACATCAAATATGGACTACCTGCGATTCATTTTAACGAGGCACAAAAAGATGGCTGCATCTCATTCAGTTTGCCCTTGCAGCCCTTCTGCAGGAGTTAACTTAAAAGTAATGACAGACAAAAAAAAAAGAAAAAAAAAAAGTTCCAGATGATACTTCTGGGGTCGATTTGCACTTCCGATTCGGATCGCGTTCACGCGGTCCCACATTTGGCATGAAGCATCACAGCGTGGGCTCGACTTATCCACAGTCAAATCCTCCGTTCAGATTATTATTTTTTTTGTTGTGTTGCAAAGCAATTCAGGTCTGCAGAGGGCGGACCTGCTCATCTGTCTTAATCCACTCTTCAAGTTGGAGAAGGTGTGAATGTCGCAGCACCGTGTTGTCGTCGTCGACGTCTCCATCAACCTGCCTGCAGAGACTTTTATCGGAGGCTGTTACTGTAACGGGGCACAGGATGATTCATTGTACATTTCATGTGCAGGAGACATTACTCACTAGCAAATATATAATAACGAGGCTTTTCCTTGCTTCCCAGTGTCTCAGTTTTGCTCTGTTTATTTGTGTTTCCCCCCCTCCCCTCCCTCCTGAAAGCTGTTCTCAGTTTGCTGCTATAAATGTTGCTTTTAGTTTGTAACATGTGAATGAATTTCACTGCGCATATGTGCATACTTGAACTGTGTTAAGACGAGCCTCTTTTTCTGAAACAGACGCCTGCTGTGCTGTTCGAGGGAATGCAACACATTTTCTTCTGCCACCAACATCAAACGTCTTTGTGGTTTTTTTTGTTGTTTTATTTTTTTTTTCATGTAAAAGTCCAGCAAACATTACGTGGAGCCGAGCGCCGCCGCCGCCGCGTGCTGAGGAACGGTCGCACCTGTTCACGCCAGCAGAAGCGGGCGCGCGCCACGTTGGCCGAGCTGCAGCGCGACTTCCTGCAGCTAGAAGTTAAAGTGGAATATAATCCAAATGTTGTCATCCTGTAAATAAAACACTTACCTGTATGTTGTTGTGACATTTTAAGTCCTCTCAGATGGAGGCAACCTGGAATCTGGCCAAAGCTCGCCCGTGGCAAGAAACAGAAATATTCTTGGGTGAGAAATCCGATAAAAAAAGCAAGTGGGAGCAGTTAATAGCAAGTTGTGGGCGTCTCATCTTCCCTTTTGCGCTCTCGCCTGCTTAGAAAATAAGCCTTAATCGATTTTTTTTCCTTTTTTTTTTACATGCCAATCGTTAGATGAAGGAAAAAACTAGTTTGAGCAACACGAGGGAGCTTTAAACTGCAGCTCACACCAGCTTGTTGCAGTGCAGCGGAACATGTGAAGTTTGTCCTGTTTGATAAAGTGAACTTTTATTTACTTGGGTGCGCCAAGGCATAAAAAACAAACATCCCCTCCTGTCTGATTCCCTCTCCCCCTTCCTTCTCCTCCACTTGACAAACCAGTAGAAGATGGGTGCTAGCGTCAAGTGCGTGTAGCACATGATCAACTGTGTGTAGACAGATGTAAGTACAGCCATTAGCGAGGCACATGTCAGATCACGTTAGCGACGGGGCTGCAATGCCAGGCAATGTCATTCACATGCAATAAAGATTGCCTTACAAGAATTAATTCCTGCAGTGTGACCCATATTTCCTGCGGAGGGGTTATGCAACATCGCCAGAAGTGTGTGAAACAAGATGGAGCTCAGAGGAAGGCCCAACGTGTTGATGAAGAGACACATGAGACGACACATCCTGGAGTCCGTGTGTCACAGTGTGATGTAGTCTTACAGGACTGGATTGACTGAGAAACACATGTAATAGTTCAATCAGCAGGTTAATGTCAAATGGAGCGCAACTAAAATCTGTTTCCTGTGATCGCGGTCAAAGTGTATGGAAGCAAAACAGGGCCGTAATAATGAGGAATCCTCTTTTCTAAATTTACCTCGAGTGTATTTGGTTTAATTTCAACTCTGTCATTTATGGTGGTAGTAGTTTGACCTTTTTCAAACATATTCTAGGTTCCTATTGCAAAGGATTAAAGTTACACGAGATTTGCAAACCAGGAGAAGTTGCGATGCTTCCTTCATTTTTTTTCTCATTAGGATTTAGTCATAATTAAAAAGCCAGGACACATTCGTGCACTTCATTGGAAGAATTTAATGAAATAATCGACGCCTCTTGAGTGAAAACATGACCAGCAGTCGATTAGCTTAGCTTAGCATAAAGACTCAAGCCTAGACTGTTGTTATTTAGTTGTTTTTATACTATCAGCTAGATGTTATATGTTCATTTGTGAATAGTAACTCAGAGTCTCGGCCTCTTGAGTCGGTGGCAGCCTGTGTCCTACAATCAGCTGCTTTGCGTTGATTCTGCAGGAAAGCAGCCGATTCATCACACTTGCTTGAACAGGCTCATCTGGGCTACTGTACACCGACAACTCCTTTTGTCTGTAAAGTGCATCGCCTACGCAAGTAATGTATCCGAGGCTGAGCGCAGACAAAAGGAACTTTGTTAAACGGGTCAAAAGCCTGCAGCTTTCTTCAAAACCCCCTCCAGTGAAAATCAAGCTATTCTTGACATGTCCGTGTGATGCTGAATGTACGCTGGAGGACGCGTCAGGAGCGAAGCCGTCAACGTCCTTACTGATTCAGACTTGCCGAGTTTCGTGCATAACAAAATCAAATCAAGTTTATTGTCATTTTGCTGTACATTCTGACAGCTTGTGGGATGAAGATGTTGATCATTCTGGAGGTTTTTCCTTTAACAAACCTAAAACCAACCCTGTTAGCCTGCAGGGTTGGACTGTTTGTGTCAGGATGAAACAGTTTAGGTTGAATACAGCTGGTAGATTCAAATTCATCTGCAGCCTCAAAGCTCAAGTCTTGTCTTGAATAGTGGTGCCACATTTTATTTGATTTTTTGTCTGAATGTTGAATCTAAGTCATCTCAGCTTACTTGTAAATAGTGTTCACTTCAACAGCCAAGACATTTTTCTAAAGGCTGCCATATTAACACTTAAAAAACTTTAGCAAAGCTGATTAGATGCTGAAATTTAGGATAGAAAAAGTGAAAGAAAGAAAAAAAAGTCTGGTTTTAGGTTTAAGATTTGAGCATTTCAGATGATAAAGGGGTTAGGTTAGTGGCAAGCATCTAGGAGCCGAAGCTTTGGTGCATGACACAGCAGTATGAAGCAGAGCTGATGAGAGCAGAGCTTCATGACTGAAGTCAGCCAGGATAGAGGAGGAGGACGTTTTGTTCAGTAAAAGCACTGAGCCTGTCACCATTATTTGCCGATTCATTGTAAGGGTGAGTTCAGTGAAAATCTAGCATGAGACATGAAACAAACGGTGTCTGAAAGTCCACCAGCCCTGATGCTAGTTTTCACCACATTAAACCCTGTTGGCGTCTGCTAAGATGTTAGCGCATAAAAAGTCCGCCCTATTGGATTCTGCCAAAATGTGTGCTATAAAAATCCGCTAGT